CGTGTGTGTGTGTTAGTGTGTGTGTGGATATGTATATATTTATAGATGTATATATCTATATATGTATAATTATATACATATATGTATATATATATATATATATATATATATAATATATATATATGTATGTGTATGTATATGTTTATGTATTTGTATATGTATACATATAATTATATATACACGTGCATACATACATACATATTTTCGTACATACATGCATAACTACATATATGCTATTATCCAAACATACAGACATGTGTACATCCATATATACATACACATACATACAAACATATATACATACTTACAGAGACATATATATATATATATATATATATATATATATATATTGTGAGTGATTCTAGACAATAGTTAGACTCGCACAAAATACAGGCTTATTCACTAAGTTATTAGATTATTGGTGTAGCGTGTGGTAGTTCTCCTGTCACACCCTCTATCTATATTATCAAATATGTTTGATAGTAATATGATCAAATTACTCCCAAAGTAGTTCTGCCCTACAACCGTGGTAGTCCTGCCCTACAATCGTGGTGATGACTACTTAATATTTGATGATGACTCATCACTGAACCAAAACCTGAGTGTCTCAAATCTGAGACCCTCAGGCCCCACTACATGGGTTACCCTAGGTCTGGGCCCTTCCCAGCCTCTGCTTATGGGTAACCCTTAACCTGATCCTTCCCCAAGTCCCAGGCTTAGGTTATTCAGGTCCCAGGTCTAGGTTAGCCACCTAACCAACCACTAACACCCCTAAGGTTATACCCACAGGCTAACACCCCTAGGGTTCCACCCACAGTCAATCACAACCCCCTGCTAGGATAGTTAACATAACTCTTTATGCAACTTATCATAGCCAGACTGTGGGTAGTCCTATCTACACTATATACACTATACACAAGAGATGCTTACATCTCCATCCCCTCGTGGAGGATGGAGTTCTTCATCCCTCACCTCAACGGTCTGAGGATTTCACAACAAAGCAAGCACTATAACCAACGTCGCGACGGCAGCTCCGATCCATCCTCTGCTATCTGTAGTTCACCCCAAGCTTGCAGACGCTTCTTCCTGTAGAACGCCGACTGTGCAAGAGCAAATACATTTAAGATCTTCCTCTTATAGGCATCACGGCTTTTTTACAGCGGTACCACCCGCTTCAACAAGACCTGATAGTCCTCTCCAAGCACTTTCTTCCCGTCTTCATCGTCCACCGGTGGCGCAAAGAATGGTAGATTCACCTCGTCTCACCACAACTCCCAGCGTCCCTAGGCTGAACTAAGCTCACCTGACCAAGTTCTCGTCTGCTTCGTACGATGCATGGCATGACCAACCGCTTGACGGTAGCATCCTGCCGCTCAGTCAGAGGCGAATGATACATTAACCACTCCTCATACGGGCCATGCGGGCGATACCGCACCACAGAGCGCTGTTCCTCTTGCTCCGAGAGCTTTTCAACGTGCGGTTTCAACTCCGCCCGTAAGAAAGTACTGTGAGATCCATCAGACATCTCAACCGTATGCGTCAAAGGTGCTTGAACCGCCACTACCCGCGCCGGTCCACCCCACCGCGATGACAGGTCATGTGACTTCCCTCTCAGCCGATACCGGTCCCTCGAGCCGACTGCCAGCTGAGAGGGACATCCTCCCGTCGGACATTAGCTCTCGTCTGCTGTTCCAGTTACGCCTGCCTGTCCCTGACCGCTGCTACTGCGTCACGGACCATCGCTTCAGTGCCTTGTTCGTACTCCAACAAAGATAGCACCCTGTCCTGTAGCTCCAAACTCTTCTGACCATTAAAATCCCTTCCTGTCAAGTGGAAATATGGCGCAAACCCTGTCACCGAGTTCCTGGTGGCATTGTATACCTGCGCCATATCGTACACCTCATGCAACCAAGCGTGAGGTGAGTCATCATTATGCTCAACCTCCCGGCGCAACCAATCCTTCATCGTCCGGATCAACGTCTCTGGTCTGCCATTGCTTTGATGGTTGTCAACCGTCACCCAGTGCGGTTCGACACCCCGCCGCTCGCAGAATGTCTTAACGTCACCATTCTGAAACCTCTTATCCGCGTGTAGTAAGTATACGCTAGATAACTGTATCTCAACGTTCTCCCTCCTCAGGGAAGGGGACGTTGTTCATTTATTAATAATTATAAACAGTAATCCTAAGATGAATGACTCTTAAAATGAGTCATTAGTCATGTGCTGTAAAACCAGCAAAACCATAAAACCCAGTTTATCAGATTATTCTGATAAACTGTAAAACTTGTAATAAACCTAAATAATCAAATAAATCTAAGTACTTGTATTCTGACCACAAAGCGCAAGTCCTGTGAAATCACCTCCGACAGCCTGCGTCTCTTGTTGTTAACCTCCGTCCTCCTTGCCTTCGCCCGCTTTCCCCGCGGGCCCAACATGGGCGGCTGCTCATCCTCCAAAGCCTCCGTGGCGAGAAAATCAATGGCCTCCGTCTGAGGTACTACCGCCAAGAAATCATGTTTCGTCCATATAAGGGCCAAGTGGTCCTTTCTCATGGACTGAAATCCCAGCAACACGTCCGTGTCAAACGGCAGCGAGTCAACTACCAGCAAATCCGTTGGTCGCTCAATGGTGTTGCCTCCCCATGTATCAATTGTCACATTCGATTTTACAACACCCGATGGGCGTACAAGCCCCATCTCTGCAACCCCTTTATACGGCAGACCTAGGTACCGCGCCGTATTTAGACCTTGCTGTGCAACAAAGAACTTGGTGACCAAACTCGGTGTCGCTCCCGAATCAACATAGACTTCAACGTCGTCGCCTGCAATGGCACCCTGTATCACACTCCCAGCTTGTGCTTTCTCCTGCACCACAGTGCCTACAGCGCCCAACAGTCATTGCTGCTGCGCTGGGCATGACTTGCGGAAGTGGCCACGCTGCTTACAATTGTGGCAGCGAATGACCTTATGGTAAGCCTCCCTGGCTGCCCGGATGTCGTCGTTCTCCGACAGTTCAATCCCTGGCTCTTCCGACGCATCCCTTGCGCGTTTTTGACCGCCTTTGCCTTTATTTGCCCCTTTGTTCTTGGGGTTAGGCGTGCGATTACGCTTGATAAGGTTTCGCAGATCCCTCTCTGTCCCGCAAGATCCTTCTGCTGGCCAGCGAAGCTGTTGTGTGAAACATTAACGGCCGCTAACGTAGCCCCTAACTCATATATGTCCCCCCCCTTGACCAGCGGAGGAGGCCCCGGGAGCTTTTGGCGGTGGGGCAACGCCTCCTTGCGCATTCTGTACCATCACTAGCACCGACGCAAGCCCCTTTATATGATAGACCAATCTAACATTGTCTCCTAGAGCCTTGTCATGCACAAACAAGCGCTCAAAGAAGAGATCCATACACTCATGTATGGCTGTCATCGATTCGGAAGGGAAAACGTGACATGAGGGCTCTGGAAGCACTCCAACCTGTGGTTTGCAATGACCCCACCTTTTGTCGACAAACGTGCCGTGACAACAAGGTGAGCCTTCATCGCCTCGGCAGCTACCATCACCTGTTCATAAAGAAGAACACGGTCAGGGTCCTCCTGAACAGCCGAAGCCTCGTGCCTCACGAGCGCCCGCAACTTGGTCATGAGCCGCTCAGCAAGCTGGACATGGTCTTGACCATTTCAAGCTTGCGGATTAACCCCAAAAAAACATCCAAATAGTTGGGCATAGGACCCTCAGCATCCCTGTGCGCCAGAATCCTAAACAAGTGATGCCCCATGACGGCCCACATGCCGTATGTTTGGAAATTCTGCGACATCGCAACCACCTTCCATGGCGAGTTGCGAAACTCACCAGCCAAACGATCCGCAGCAATGAGCATGTCAGAACGAGGCTCTTCAAACAGCATCTTCAACATGTCGCAATGCTTCGCTAAAACCACAGGGTCGACAAGGCCAATGTCCATCAGATCTGTACCCAGTATTGTCCTGATGCTGTCCTGGGTCGCAGTGGTGAACCCTTTTTTCAGAAAATTATTGACAGTATGGCGTTGCTTTGCTGCCGCTCAAACAATGTGACTAGCGTTATGGGCCCTACGCTCCTTTATCACTTGACCCGACGACCCCATCCATCGATGCTAATCGTCATCTGTTTTCCCATTGAAGATCTCAATCTCATCCTTCGTCATTTCGAAAAAGAAAATACTAGCGTCTAACTATCCTGTTATACGTTACTCTAATCTAATTGTGAGTGATTCTAAACAATTGTTAGACTCACACAAATTACAGGTTTATTCACTAAGTTATTAAATTAGTGGATTAAATATGTTTGTTAGTAATATGATCAAATTACTCCCAAAGTAGTTCTGCCCTACAACCGTGGTGATGACTACTTAATATTTGATGATGACTCATCACTGAACCAAAACCTGAGTGTCTCAAATCTGAGACCCTCAGGCCCCACTACATGGGTTACCCTAGGTCTGGGCCCTTCCCAGTCTCTGCTTATGGGGTAACCCTAAACCTGATCCTTCCCCAAGTCCCAGGCTTAGGTTATTCAGTTCCTAGGTTAGCCACCTAACCAACCACTAACACCCCTAAGGTTATACCCACAGGCTAACACCCCCAGGGTTCCACCCACAGTCAATCACAATATATATATATACATAGTATATGTATATATATATATCATTGCGTACATATTTTTCGGTGCAATCATCATCTATTTCAAAAGAAGAGACTATAACCTCACCTTTTTTAATGCGAATTACTGACTGTATCAGCTTAGTGCAATCTTGTCATCAACAATTTGTGGAACAATTAGTTTTTTAATTCCAGTGTTGGCACTTTGAGCGCTAGTTTGATAAAACTATCGAAAAGCTGATGACCCTCGACTTGTGATTACATGCTCTGTAGTGTACTGTGTAGTCTAGGTATCATTCCCCAAAGTGTCTTCTTTAGAACGAATATCATATTTACATGAACATACTAATTCACATATACAAGCCGATCACCCGTTGTTGTATAATATCAATTCAGGGGATCCTCCGCGCGTGTCCAGCATAATCATTGATAGCTTTCATGCTGCACCCGCCATTGTATACGCTAATCATGGATAGTTGCTGCTTTCCAGACAACATTTGCCTGTCATTGCCCCTATTAGTCCCACACATATGTCGCAAACACCTGTTGTTCCGGCTTCGGCCCCCATGTCATTGTACGGGATACCATCGATTCCCGAAGATTTCTTCCGATCACACTGAGGGCTCGCACAAGCCCTTGTGATATACGACACCTTCGGTATATCCTCGACCTAAGCTGGTGTGACGTTGTAACCGTCTGTTGATCTGCATAACCGCGCAGGTGCGCCGTTATTCAAATATTTTTAGCGCGGCACACACTCGCATCTAAACGGTCACCATGAGAACCCCATTACGTGTAAAATATGTGACTGATTACAAAAGTCTCGACTGTAAGTGGGAAGCATCACATAGGGAACTTCATAAGCTCTTCCTCGCTGGAAAAGTACTTTTGTTTTATTCTGCTATGCGCCAGATACTTACATTTTGACGGTTCCGGTCTTGTTTCTGATGACCTGCTATGCAGTATGATGCACAATGACAACGTGCGCGCATTTGTGGACGTACTTACTATCCCACAGTTACAACTCAGGTCGCTTGGGTACAAATATGGTCCTTCGATTCCTGGCTAGTCCTAGTCTTCGCTTACTCTTTTCGGTTCGCTTCATTGCCTGGGTCCGAGTATCGCCTCCAATGTAACTAAGAAAAGCTTCTCCCTCGACGAAGTTCTCCTTATAACTCTCACCTGTGCCAAGCTTCCACAGAGCCCATTTTGTAGGTAAATTACCGTCAATGCTGTCATCACTACTGCTGGTAGTTACCCATGAGTCTCTGTAGTGATCATACAGGGTGAGTAGTTCACGGACCACACTCGTCGGTGGTTTCGGTGGCTTGGATTGGTGTCACATTTTTGAGCATAGGAATGGGCTTAGCAATCCTTTGTCGTCACCGCTTGCATTTGAAGGCTTTGACAAACTCCATGCTGAAACTTGGCAATGTGTGACACACTGTCGAACAACAATACATACTGTCTGTCTAGACCAACCTATATGTAGATATGAAATAAATATGGACATGGTAGTGTTAAAAGTTGAACGCATACGCCTCCTATTCGTTTCCTTTATTTACTGATCAAAGTCTATCGTCTCGTCAGAACCTTCGAAACCGGATCCTGTTACACGTTTGGAATATGATAATCGTCGGCATTGGAACCACAGCAGCAGATCATAAAGCTGTCACTAGTACTCCATCCACAAGAGGCTGGAACATGCAAATTCTGATAAAAGTAATATCCTTATCCGTTCACAGCCGGGTTAACAGAAACATTAATTTTTATACTGGGTACAAGAACTACCCAGAGATGAGACCAAATCTCTAATTTTCTCTTCCGTATCTATATCGTTGAGACGAGAAGCTACGCACGAAGATGAACGTTCAGAACAGATTGTTGCGCAATAGACACGTTCACTAGCCAGATACTATCCTGGATCTTCGGCTTGCTGTGGACTCGCAGAAACACTGGGTGTAGTTGTGGTTGACGGAGTTGATGGCATGCTTGGTGTCACGGTAAGACTTGTTGTAGCACTGGGTGTAGTTGTGCTTGATGGAGTTGGTGTCATGCTTGGTGTCACAGTAGGACTTGTTGTAGCACTGGGTGTAGTTGTACTTGATGGAGTTGGTGTCATGCTTGGTGTCACAGTAGGACTTGTTGTAGCACTGGGTGTAGTTGTGCTTGATGGAGTTGGTGTCATGCTTGGTGTTTCAGTGGGACTTGTTGTAGCACTGGGTGTAGTTGTGCTTGATGGAGTTGGTGTCATGCTTGGTGCCACAGTAGGACTTGTTGTAGCACTGGGTGTAGTTGTGCTTGATGGAGTTGGTGTCATGCTTGGTGTTACAGTGGGACTTGTTGTAGCAATGGGTGTAGTTGTGCTTGATGGAGTTGGTGTCATGCTTGGTGTCACAGTAGGACTTGTTGTAGCACTGGGTGTAGTTGTGCTTGATGGAGTTGGTGTTGGTGCTACAGTGGGACTTGTTGTAGCACTGGGTGTAGTTGTGCTTGATGGAGTTGGTGTCATGCTTGGTGTCACAGTAGGACTTGTTGTAGCACTAGGTGTAGTTGTGCTTGATGGAGTTGGTGTCATGCTTGGTGTTACAGTGGGACTTGTTGTAGCACTGGGTGCATTTGTGCTTGATGGAGTTGGTGTCATGCTTGGTGTCACAGTAGGACTTGTTGTAGCGCTGGGTGTGTTGGTAGTTGTTGAAGTTAGTGTCACACTCGGTGTTTTACTGGGACTCGTTGAAGCACTGTATGTAATTGTGATTGATGTAGTTGGTGTCGTACTTGGTGTCATAGAAGGACTTGTGGTAGCTGTGGTACTTGATGATGGCGAAGGTGTAGGCGAATTTGAAGGTATCTCCACTGGCGCATAACCTATGTCTAATGCTATGGTCGGGCTGTTTAAATTGAGTGAAACTGGTACTTCTGTGCTCAAATGACTCACTGATTCGCCCAGACTGACAGATAACGGTACGACCACAACTGCCGATCCAAACCCTACCCTAGGGAATGCGAGAAAGCCCTCCCTTGTAGTCGTCGTTGCTAGTGTCTGCGAATTACTCCCTTGTGATACGATCGCTCCTGATACAACCGCGTTGGTTTGCTTCTGCCTGAGTCTTCCGTATACCGATCCTATTTGGCCCACTACAAAGCATTGCTGCGCTACAGTCACTAAATTGTCAGCACTTGGGAGAGCGATGGACAGAGTATTCGATGCCGTACCAGCACCGTCCTGAAGCACGACGTACTCGCCATTACCAACGCTGCTAACAATAAATTCTATGATGAAGTCACCATCCGGAAGTTCCATAAAAGTGTATATTCCAGTTGTCGCATCAGTACTTGTTGTTGCCACGACCAACAGTGAATTTCCGCTTTGAAATAGATTCACTGTGGCTGCCCCGATAGGCAAGCCATCCGCGTTAAGAGTACCGACAGGAATAGACCCAGTCTGTCCGAATACGAATGGGATTGTTGATGATGCTGTCGACGCTCGAATGAAAACTGGCTGTAGAGCAAGTACAGCGATGAGAAACATTTCCCCGCCGACTTCCACGGAAGGATTGACAGCAATTGCGAAGTTGCCTGGCAATACATTTACAAATGTATAATCACCGTTCTCATTCGTGAATTCGACTTGTACCGCCCGCCGGTCCCGAGTCAGCTCTCCATTGTACCATCCCACGTTTCCCTCATTGGCAGTATCACGACGCTTTCTGCTATCACTGGGTTCCAGTCGAAGCTCAACGCTAGCCAGTGGCTTCCCTCGCTGGTCAGTCACTCTGCCGCTCACACTACCTGTTCCTGGTAAAATCTGACTGGGGGACGGCGAGACTGATGGCGATGGTGTTGAAGAAGTTGAAGGCGTTGGGATTATAGTGCAATTTCGACACTCAGTGAATCCTACGAGGGAAGATCTTGTCGATGAGCACTGGTCACTACACTGACACTGCTCAAGCGGGCAAACAGTGACGATGGTCTGCGAGCCACATAGATATCCTTCGTAAACTGTACGAAAGCCGCAGAAGGCCTGATTTCCAGTACCTGCACAGGCCGAGTCCACTAACAATGAGGGACATTCTTCAAATCCGAGTCGCATTGCAAGCATATAGTGCGTAAATTGACACATGCATTGTTGATACAATGAGGTATCGATTCACAGTGTTGTGGTCATTACACTGGGGCTTATTTAAGAGCTCTACATTTAGTTGATGAACAACAGCCAATGTGATAGTAGTATTTGCATGACCAGCAATTGCTAGCTCTTCTACTTTGCAAGTTGAATCTATTTCCAAGTTAATTGGACATGGTTCTAAAACTCTCGTATGTTGTACTGTATAAGTCTGGATCTCGGTAGAAATAACATTTGCTTCAGAGACTTCATAGATAGAATGGGATGCGCCTCCAACTTCCATTGATGTGATAGCCACCGCCCCCAAATTGAGGAGCCGCAAGTCACGCTGTAGCGGGCGACTTGCAGTAGCCGCTGTCGAGCACAGCAAAAGACACCAATATAATATGAAGAAGGCATCAATTTTAATTATGAACATTTTTGAATAGTGTATCCCTTTGAAATGTATCGTCGTGTTGAATCACTGAACTAGTGAGCTTCGAAGTCGAAGTATTTATGTTGAAAGATCACATCCGAACTGGTCCAGATTGTTTTTTCAAATTCATTCATTCATTCAATCTCTCTCTCTCTCGCTCTCAGAGTGAGAAAATAATAGTGAACATATTGACAGTCTGAGACGTCTGAAGACTCTGCTCTCTTCTTGCATGTGTCTGAGAAGTTGAGTGAGTTTGGTCTGTTGCTTGACTTCTTTGAAAATCTGAGATAGAGACTCGGATGACGACTGTGACACTTGACAGTCTGAACTCTCAACTCTGGCAGTCTGACCTGGCGGCTAGCAGTGAGCCAGTGACTCGACAGTCGATTCTCACTGAAAGTATATTGCTGATTTCTTTTTTATTGTCGCCGAGTCGCGAACTATTTAAAATGACTGCATAAGATAGTAAATATTTGCATAGCTCTTAACGACTCTATGCTCTGCAAATATTTACTATTTATCTGACTGTCGAGTGTACCGTCGACTAACGACTTCCAAAATTACAAGTTCCCCGAATCCAGCCCTCTACTAGCTACTAATCTACTACTAGTATGTAGGCCCTCTGGTAGAGGGCCCCGGCCCCAGGCCTTTTTACATTTAGTCTTTACTTTTTCGTACGTACTGTACTTACTCAACGGAGCATCAACAATCCAATCATTATTTAGATTTCGATTTCAGAACCTTAACTTCATTGGAGAACTCAGAACTGGTGACTCAGCAGTCAGGGACTCAGGGACTCAGGGCCCCAGCCCCTAAGCTCATTACGTTATTGGGGTACGGGATAGAAGTTGAACGTAACCGCATATTTATTCATTTTTTAAACGTTTAAACGGTTATATGGTGATCAGAAGAGCCTACCTAAGTTCTTTTTATAGGACTGGTTCGTATTGTGAAATCTGTACACACTTACATGTTTAGACCTATGAGCATACAAGGGACCACATATGTAATAAAAGTTGAACGTAAACGTATGTTTTTTCGATTTATAAAAGTTTCAACGAAAAACTGTATGAGGTTAGCGGCCAGCCCCCAGGGTCTTGTCCACACAGACCGGATACGTTGGACAAGGCCCTGTTGCGACCAGGTCGGTTTGATCGGCACTGGACTCCCGGAGGCTCATCAGATGATTATTTATTTTTGTTAATATTTTCACAGTGGAGAGTGGAGACTGGTGACTCAACTCTCTATAAGACTGGCTGGGGGGCCGGGACTCTCGGGAGAGTCTTTGATTATTATTTTTATGAATACAATTGGTGATTTTTTTTATCAGTAATGAGTAAACTTTACTAGTTTTTTTTATTATAAATACACATTCATGGATGTTTTTTTCTCATAATCTTAAACCCGAGCTCCAGTAAAAATACTTTTTTTTACGTAGTTTGCATACCTTAGGTTCTACATACAATAAATTGGTTCACTCCATGAGTCCATGAATACTCTGTCAATTGTCAAACATAAAAAAGTCAAAAATAAAAATATCTGTACATGTTTGAAAAAAAGCCGTTTTTCTTCTTTATTATTTTTTTGTGTTAGTGGGGCCCCCACTAACACTCGGTCAAACTCCCATCTTCCAAGTTCCCAACAAAAGTCATCAACCTCTCAAACTTCAATAAAGGCTCAACGGCCCAACCTCCAGTCGCTCACTGCTGCAGTGCTGCCTCTGAACTTCTGAAGTCTGTATTACCGGGGGTAATTGACATTTGACATACAGTCCAACAGTTAATGAACTTTGAAGTCTGAATGCGAGGAATACTCTCTACGCCACACACAGAGAGAAGGAGGCCCAGGGCCAGGGGCCAGCCTGCCGGGGGCCCAGGGGCCAGAGCACTAAGGCCAAGGGTATATAGTTACATACTTAGCAGGGCAAGGGCATGGCGGCTGGTGCCAGGAGCCAGGACCCTTAAGGGTTTTTTTTACTTCTTCGTGAGAATGTTTATATTTACTTAATAACGGATCTTCATTAATCCAATCACTATGTAGATTAAATTTTAGAGCCTTAATTTCTTCACTCAATGTGGTGAGATAGCAGAGCTAACCTCAGTACGTAAAAATCAAAAAATCAAAAGTGTTTACGTTCAAAGTTTATTTTAAAATATAGTCCTACGGGTTTACAAATAGGTACATTTTATGAGGCGGCCTAACCGGCACGAATTCCCTATTATCGCCCGCCCATTTCTGTCACTTGTGAATTTTGCCAAATCGCCTTATTGTGCCCGGTTAATCAACGAAAGGTCAACTTCTCAGGTGCAAATTTGAAAAAAATCATGGTCAATTTGCCCTCGATATACTTTAAAACGTTAAAAAATAAAACCTTTTCGTTTGCGTTCAAAGTTTATCGCATATAGAAAAAACGTATTGAGCTTATGTGGAGACTTGGAGAGCCGAGAGACCGAGCGAGAGAGAAAAAATTCTGGAGTCTGGAGTTCAGTGGAGTGATGGAGTCTGGAGACTGGAGAGTAAGTGGAGACTCTGGAGACTGGAATGTGGACTTTGAACTTTGCACTTTACAGTCTCTACTCTAGCTAGAGCATATCATAGCCTTCTAAATTGAACAAGAGAAGGCTATGGCTCTACTACTACGTCTACTAGAGAGTATTTATTTCTATTTTTATCTTATTAAAAAACAATTCCTCCCCCTCGGGAACTCCAACAAAATCTCCAGTATTTCTTTTAGTTTATATTTTGTACAGGCCCCGTGGGCCGTAGCCCGTAGCCCGTAGCCCGTAGCCCGTAGCCCGTAGCCCGTAGCCCGTAGCCCGTAGCCCGTAGCCCGTAGCCCGTAGCCGAGCCGTAGGTCTAGCACGAAAGAGATCAGTGTGGGGACACTCTCGACCGACCGTCCCAGCTATTTATAGGTGGCTGATAACCAAGGACGATCTCGTTGGCGTACAGTCGTCTCCAGGTTTATCAGTATAAGGAGTTTTCTGCACACACGAAAGTAGGATGCGAAAAACCACCTTATGGTTTAACCAGGACGCGAGGGTTTTACAACCCCCCATCCGATTGGAAAGAGACAATCGGATTAAAAACACGACGGTCGAAAAAGGGAGTAATGTAAAAGACCGGAAGTCGCAACATAAAGTCGCAACATATCAAGAATAAGCAAGAGGGTTGTGCATAGAATCCGTGTTCAGTGCGGAAGCGTAGCTTCAAATTTGGTACGCCAGTCAAGGAGTTGAGAGGCGCGGTAGACGGGGTTAATAGGGATAATATTATTTATTTCAAAAGAGATAAGTTACAAGTGGGTTTAACAAGAGGGTTCAGTAGGGCATGCTTGGTACGGAGATAGTGGATTAAAGCTGCTTTCGTAGAGTCGGGATAATGTTTGGAGCGTGGGTCGATAGTTTCATCAAACTGCCATATCCACGTAAGTGTTGCATATCGTTTCACCTGGGCAACAGCGTCACTAGGAACACAAAGGCGGACGAAACTGGTGAAACTCCTGTGGTGATTTGGTTGAAAAATCGGTTTGGACGGGAGATACCAAAGGAAGTGATGGCGATTGAGGAGCGGTTGGGCGTGCCAGTAATTTTCAGATTCTGATTGAGATGGAGGGTTGCCTTTAGAAAAAATTGCACGAAAGAAGAGCCATACCGTAGTTATGTCATTCATTCCGTGGAGAGTTTTGTCAGGCATAGGGCGGTCCATCACTTTCGTCAAAAGGTGTGTGGGTACTGGCGGCTGCAGTAGGGGTTGAGAATCTGGTGCGGTCGGACGTTTTTAGGGGCTCGGTTTTGCGGACTTGTTCACTTTTGAGCAGTAGCTGGGAGGCTCACTGCTGCTATTGGGTGCCTTCGGCCGCGGTCTTTTTGCTGGCGGGGCAGGCGGGCTTGTGGAGCCGATTCGGATGGTGTGGGGTGTGCCATCATTTAGAGGTGCACAGGTTCGGGATTTTAGGTCCCGGAGTTCGGATTCAAGGTTGTTAGTTTAGTGACCATTTGATGCATGGTTGATTTCCATTGGTCATCAGCTAGAGGCTTCTTGGAAATGCAAGGGCATAAGCACACTTCAGAGTGGACTTAATAGCCGTAAATCGTGGAGGAGTAAGGTGCTGGCGGAGGAACTCGAAATCAGCATCACGAAAAGCGGAATCATCACGAGCATATTTGTAATAGTCAGCCAGAGAAATGAACTGCCGCAAAGCAGCATTAGATTTGTAGCGAAACAAAGTAGCAGAAGGCCTGTCTGTAAAAACATCGGCAAGCTGAGCCTTGTCATATTCAGGAGCATCTTTGAACGGGCTGGAATAAATAGCCAATTTGTGTAAACCGTGTTATCACGAGTACCAGTAACATAAGCTGTCGGGGTTTCAACTGGTTCGCGATACGCTTTAATCTTGGAACGATAGACCTTATATTTTTTAGCAGTAACATTGTCTTGAATTGTATGCAACACAGGAGGATGAAAGGCTATGACAGTAGCAGGGCCACCCCAGAGCACTCGGTCAGAAAATGGTGTAGATGTTAGTTTGTAGAGACCAAGGCGTCCAGCAGCAATCATGGGTTAGTCAATGCGGAAGCGATTAGCTTTGACAGTTTGAGAAGACGGCCTTTCCTATTGCGCTCCCATACGTCACGATCAGCATCATTTGGTTGAGGGATTAGTGAGATGAAGGGGACATCAGACGGACAATCTTCATTCAATATTTCTGCGCGATCACGATGGTGTAAGTTTCGGCATATTAGGCGATATTAACGCCTTAGAATAAATAAACGCTTAACTTAAGTCTAATTATATTAAAGTTTAAAAATAAATAAACGAAAGGAGTCTTTTGGTAAAGTAAGGTATGCCTCGTGAAAACAGCAATACTCTGAGAGATTGTAAGGCTGAGGCATTGCCTATATATAATCCTCTCAGTACTGTTTTCGCCGAAGGGATTTTATTTAGTGTTTTGTTGTCGCTCTATTAGAAATTATGGTATGTTTCGTTGGGGCGAATCCGAGAGACTCAATAAAATCCTATCTTTAAAAAGAAAAATAAATAAATTCGTGATGTCCATAGTTAGTGCATTAACCAATAACTTGCCACTTATCAAGAATTACCGACTAGCCTTCATCAGACTGGCACATCTGGTTGGCTGAACGGAGAACGCCTCCGAGTGCTAAGTCTGATGCGTCCGTTGCTATTTCAAAAGGCACGCCATCGACTGGTCCTTGTACAACAGGGGCTGGTTAGACTGCGTGCTTGAGCGCTTTAAAAGCGTCATCACACTCTTTGGTCCACAAGTCTCCTAGTTTGCCTTTATAGCATCTTAAGTGTCCAAAGGGTTTAAGATAATCAGCCAAGTGTGGTACTCCATCTGAGAAGAAGTTTACAAACCCACACATGCTGTTCACATTTCTTCCTGTACTTGGTGTTTGCCAATCTAACAGGTGTTCCACCTTACCGGGGTCGATTTTAATACCTTCCCCAGATATACGATAGCCTGAGAGCTGTATTTCGCTCATTGCGAAGTGACATTTCTTCTCGTTAATTTTGAAATTTTGTTCGTTGAGTCTCTGAAGGACTCGTCTGACTAATGCGGCATGTTTGCCCTTAGTCTTCGAAAAGATGACTATGTCATCTATGTAGACTTGCACGTTAGGCATGTCTGCAAAAATTTCTTCCATTACTTGTTGGAAGAATGCTGGTAAAGAGTGTGACCCGAAAGGTACGCCTCTAAACCTGTATTGTTTACCTTTCCAAGTAAAACTAAAGTACATACGATGGGTCGATGGATGTAAACACCGTAGCACCTTCCATTCGTCTCAGTGACTCGTTTATACGAGGGAGATGAAAACTATGAGTCGGCAATAACTTATTTATTGGGTTCATATCTCTGGGTTTCTTAAATGTTCCGTCAGAGTTGTGTTAATCAACTGCCAATAATGCTAAGTTAACTGGCGTTTGTTGGTAGTTGATTTCGATTACCCCATCGGTTAACTATTTCTCGACTTTTTCTTTAACTACAGCTTCGTGTCTCCAAGAAACATAGTTTTTTGAAGGACATTTGAGCTTAGTAAAGTCCACCTTGGTTAAGTCAAGCGCCCAGTCGGTTATTTTTATTTTCTTATTTATTAATATAAGGTTCATTATCTTATCGGCAAAGCCAGTAATTAATTCCTTGACTGTGTCTGATGGTGGTGTATATGGTTTCAGACAATTATCGTCTGATTGATCCTTTAATGGATCTATGTTATTGGGTAAACCGGTTACGGTTGTCCCTAACGTGAGAAAATAGTTCATTCCGACTATAATGTCATACTTCTGTGACATCTTAACGATCACAGCTTGAGTCGTAATATTTCTGCCATCGGCCAGGGAGATTTCAACATCTGTGGCCATGGTATCACACTTAGAAGTTTTATCATCTGCTAAAATTAGGTGAGTAGTTTGAGTTCGCCTTTCAATGTCTTTCATTAATGCAAAGCGGTCGGATATACATGAAATTTCTGAACCAGGATCAATCAATGCAAGGACTTTATTTCCGTTGCAATATACAGGGATTATTACACGCTCATCTAAGGAGTCGTTGTATTTTCTTTGTAACGATTGTACCTGGTAGTACTTTCACTCCAACTTAATATCGGCCTTCTTGTCACAAGACTTGGCGTGATAGCCATTGGTCTTCTCACAGTTGTCACACTTCGTAAGGAAGTGTGTACAGGTAGCTACATGTATTCCGTTCCAATAACCGTTAGGGGTCAATTGGCAAATGTCATACCCACACTGTGCGTCGGCACATTTCTTTATTTTCTTATATGGAGGTTCCTTGTCCTTCGGCTACGCGTGTGCCCGTCTATTGGGTCGCGTTGATTGAGTCGAGTCGCGAGCACGTGTCTGGTCAGGACGCGTCTGATGAGGCTTATTATCTGACGTCTGGCGTGAGAGGTATCCTTGATCAGGGAGCTCGCGTGGTTTCTTATTTACTGTCTTTCCCTTCGAGGTTACTCGGTGTGAGGGGTAAAGAGTGGAGACAGTATCATAAAACTGTTCCCACGTAAGTCGGGATAGATGGAACTTTGTTTCATGTCCCTTGTCTCGAGCCTCAGTTGCGTACTTACGTCGCAACTCGGTGTACAGACTCTCTCGGTCGTTGTTCCCTATGTTCTTGCAGAACACATGCATAGTCAGGAACTCGTACCATTTCTGAGCTTTGTCCTCTATTATACCAGGACGCTTCAGATCTGCATCGAGTTTCAGAATGTAACTCTGAATGGGAGTATTCTCGACTGGTTCAGTTAGAATTAAACTTAGTCTAGGACTACGCATGTCCTTGCTTACTAAGGACGTTACTAACCAGCACACAGCTGGCCAGTCACAACAGGTGTCTAGCTCATGCTGATGTCTCTGCAGGATCAAAAAACTTGTTCCTGTAGGATCAAACGACTGCATTAAAGCAGATATCCATTGCTGGGGAGCAATATCATTTGTCTCCAGCATGACCGTAAACGCATTTAGCGTACGGGTTAGCGTGTCGAGGTTATGGTTCTTTATGAACTCTACCTGCTTGTTGTAGGCATCCCAGTTCGACTTAAGTCGACTGATCTGTCCCTTGCACTTCTGGTTGTCCGGGTGGTCTTGTCCACGTTGGGCCTGAAGTAGCTGATCGATGCGCTTCTGCTTGATCGCACTTATGTTAGCATAATACACACGGTGATCGGTATGGGCGAGTTCCATCTTTTTGGTGTAGACGTCGACTGCTTTATTACGTTCGGTCACCTCATCAGATTAGAAATCCTCTGCGGGTCGGTCCAAGGCGGTGCGATCGAAACGGTTAAATTCGACGTCGTTAACACGTCTACGAGGGTGTTTATTACCCCGGGTAAAATCCATGGTCGAGGCCCTTCGGTGCTCTGTTCCTGGGATAGGCGTTGGCCTTATAATTTCCGGTGGTATCTCCGTATGGACGACATATCCAGTCTTATCTGGTTTATGACGTGGACGGTCTCACCAATTGGGTAACGGTGGTGGAGTGTTTCTACCTGCCTCTGGGTCTATAATACCCTCAAGGACAGACGACTCATGACCTGGCGAAAGAACAGGCGAATAATTAGCCTGGACTTCTGGTGGCAGGTCCTCGTAGAGTATAGACATGCTGAGCCCATCTGGGTCAGCTGCTACAAGTTTGGCGCTCAGGTCCATTCGCTTTTCGGGCGACATTGACTGCTGACGTTTTGTCCACGTCTGTAGGGCTTTAGTAGTGCCCGTAGAAACATGCTCGCGTAAGCGCTGTGCGTGCTTTCCTGATCCATACATTCGATCTACATGTTCAACAGACATGCCTTTCATAAGAGCGGCTAACTGATTCTTAAGATCAGTGTTTTTAGTCGTTAACTTACTTATGCGCGTTGGCTCAGTGGTCTCGGACGTAGATTCGGGTTTGCCACTTGAGCTTGCCTCCTCTTCTGGTTCCGGTGTAGGTACCTTCTGAGATTCGTCTTTGTCCCCTGTAATTGAGGACTTTTCCTTCTGAGTTTCATCAGAAGAATTAGCTGGGGCGTCTTGAAACGTGTCCCTTTTCTCACTTCTTGGCTTCGAAAAAGCGAGCTTCGAGGTTGAGGCAATAGTTGGCCCTCGGGCTCTTTCTGCAGGGGTAGTCTCCTTAATTGGAGTAGTTGCATCCTTATCCGAAGCGTTGTCAGGACTGTTATTGCCCCAGACAAGTGCTTCGGCTACGGTGCGGTTAAACGCTTCGGCAGTAGCGGCGGTCGTTTCTGCGGCAGCAGTGGCTGCGGCAGCATTAGCAGCTTCTCTCTCCATCTTCTTGCGTTCGGCCTTGCGGTTCTTTGACGGTGTATTGCCTTTCTTAGTCATAATACTTAACTTATGACTTCAGTCGATTCACTTATAGAATAACTGTGCTTAAGGAAAAATTCGTGGTAGCTATCTACCTTTACGTTTAAGTAGTCTAAGTAGTTAATATCTTTTCTATCTTTAAAATGTGTAAGTTTCGGTCTATCAAGGCGATATTAACGCTTTAGAGTAAATAAACGCTTAGGTTAAGGCTAAGTATAATAAAATTTAAAAGTAAATAAACGAAATGAGAAAACAGCAATACTCTGAGGGATTGTGAGGCTGAGACATTGCCTATATATAATCCTCTCAGTAACGTTTTCGCCGAAGGGATTTTATTTAGTGTTTCGTTGTCGCTCTATTAGAAACTATGGTATGTATCGTTGGGGCGAATCCGAGAGACTCATAAAATCCTATCTATAGAAAAGAAAAGAAAAATACTCTTGATGTCCATAGTTATCGCATTAATCAATAACTTGCCACTTAACAAGAAATACCGACTAGCCTTCATCAGACTGGCACATCTGGTTAGCTGAACGGAGGATAAACTAAGCAACGCTAATAGTCCTTAGAAACCTATGTTCGGTTGAGCCATCTCGCTACCAAAGTATTCAGATATAAATAGATTTTGAAAGTAAATATAGTTCTATTATTAGAACTAGACCAAATCATATTTTTTATATTTTACTGGGGCCTTTTAATGGCCATGTCCAAATATCTGATATGTAAAATGGAAAAGGTATTTAATTAATAAAACCGTTAAAACCATTTAAGGAAAACTATGTTTACGTAATTTTTAGAGTACGTTTAGATTACAAGATTCTAATGTGGAGGCCCGGCTTTTACATATAGGAGTAGATGGGGGCAGAGTGTAGTCCAAACGTGGGGTAGGGATAGTTGGGGTAGCATTCTGAGTGGTAAGGGGTCATGGATAGTTACCGCAGTAGAGTTATGATCAACTAGATCATCGTCCAGTACACATTGTCCATCTGGCCCAGATACCCGTGGTTCAGTGTACGGAACCACAGTAGTTGAGGAAACAGGAGGATTGGGGTGTGTGTCAGGAAGAATAGATTGATCGGGCTGGGGCCCAATTAGGGCAGGGATCACAGGGTCGGTAGCCTGAGATGGAGGCGAGTTGCACGGCTCAGGTACTGGCTGAGGTATTGCAGGAGGAATAAAGGAAGGGGAATGGTGGGTGAAAGCCCAACGTCACTTCCTGGTCTCCGCAAAAGAGTAAAGCAAAAGAGATCTCATCCTTATCCATGCCGTAGGCTATAGCCATCGTTTCAAGATTGATCGCTCCTGGACTGGGTTAAGCTTTGTAGAACGGTAAAAGGATGGGCTGTGAAGAAGGTTGAAGCCGAGTTGGGCACAAAAATTGTAAAGCCTTGTCAAGAAAATCATTTTCCCGAATTGTAAGCTGTTCCTTAGGTGTGCGACGGAGCTTCATATACGGCGGAAGTGTAAAATGCCAGTCAGTTGAGTGTGTAGGACGATGACCAGAGCGGTTCGCAGGAAGAAAGTACTTCTTGGATGACAGTCGAGGTTTTGATGCCTTGGCCTGAAGAGCTTTATTGACAGAAAGCGCAGCATCAGCCTGGTCCATGCGCTTGGCACGGAGTGGTTGAACCCTACCAGGAGGAAAAGGCAAAAGGGTTTCCTTGGAACGGGGTATACAGACGAATAAGCCAAAGCCAACGCCAATTGGGCAGGCGTCGACGAATAAATGAATATGGTGTGATGGGCTTGGGGCTAATTAAATAATAACCCCAATAATAGATTCCAAAACAAGTCGGTAAGCAGCATGAGTGGCAACTGTGTATCGAAATGAAACATTCTTTTTGGTTAAGTCGGTAAGTGGTAACAACACCAACGCCATATTAGGGACATACTGTCACCACCAAATCATGGTGGCACAGAACACCTCAATCTCATGTTTATCTATAGGCGGGGGTAAGGTGTTTAAGACTTAGAGGCGATCGCCAGTAATAGTAGTATAGTTATCAAGAGTTACTCGACCATAGTAGACATTAAGTGACCGAAAGTTCTCATTATTGACCTTATAGTTCTGACAATATCGGACATCATTTATAGATGTTTGTTTAACGCGTGGATTATTTCGAGCTAGGACCGCGCTCAACATCCACGGACAGTATAAAGTCGCCCCGTTCGATAATGCCTCGTTTGAGGTCTCGATTACAAATTTCGGTTTCCCAGTGAATCAACTCCTGATTCTTTTGCTTATATATTATTCGACGGGGTATAGCACCCTTTTTGAGTTGTAATTTAACTTCGTATCCAAGAACAAAATTATGATTGTCAGGATCATAAAAGATTCGATTCAACGCATCTTTCAATTCTTCTATTTGAGCAGAAGTCTTGTGCAGTACTACGGCTAAACGGTCAACGCCTGTCCAGTCATGAGATTGAAGTTCACCCGGTGCCTCTCGACATTTGCGATGAAACTCGAGAACGGCAGCGTCATCCACTTGGGCTGGAATGAGAACACCAACATATGGGACAACAACCCCTGATTGAACAGTTGGTTGTTGGTGTTTTAAGCCAAAACGATCAGGGAAAGAAGTACAATCCCAATAAGTAGTAAGGAGAATACTTCGTTGGGCAATATAGCTGATAAGAATATCACAGGCCGCAGGTATGTCATCAATAACCAAGAAGTCGAGGTCTGAGGTCTCGTAACAAACCAAGGAATTATCTTTATTAGATATTTCTACGAGTATGGTAGTAGTAACCTTTTAAGTAGGGGCTTTCAGTATACATCCCCCAAATGTATTCATATACACCGGGTCGATGGAAACTGGTTCAAGAAACTCTTTGTCAACAAGTCCTTTGTTGGTAAGGCTAGGTATTGCAGTTTCTTGGTAATAGACAGTCACAATTGGCCCGTCCTGATATCAGGCATCAGCAGGAGAAAGGGTATGGATCGACTCAGTGTTTTGGGGGTAGTCACGAATAACATGCCCTTGTTCATTACAATCATAACATTGGACAGAAAGGGAGCAACTAGGAGAACGCCCTGGGGTATCCGAAAGAGAGGGTGGTGTACGCGAACGCGAGGACGGTCGAGAAAGACCATCAGGGGAGCGAGAAGAGTGTACCACGCGAGATGTGGAGGTCGTAGAAGCAGTTGGCTCAAAATTGTCAGTGGCAGCCTGTGGCTGGTCCTGACGGCGGTTGATACCACGGCCACGTTGGGTTTTAGTACAACGGTCGGAGGAGTCATTTCCGAAGCGTGGATTGTGGTTGTTTGGGGCCAAGGCAAGCTTCTATTGATGCGATTCTTCGAGGACTGCAGCGGCGTATACAAATCCTGCATGCCCGTGCAATGTGATAAAGGACTACTTCTCGAGGTTATCCAAACACCCGGAGAAGAAATCATCAATGCGTTGGTGAATGTTGTCAGCCACTGATAGAGTACAATGTAGTAGACTTTAAATAAAGTGCAAATGTATATTACAGATGGAAATTAATCTCGGAGCCGATGTGCCGGGAGTACGGAAACATCATTATAGAAAATCTCTGATGGGCATAAGGGCATCCCTAAATATCGGAGTAGTACAATCTAAACGTATAAGGCCAAAGATTACAATGGAAGCCACGATCAGTTGAAGACGTGGCGACGCTGCCTTTGGATTGGATCATAGATTAAGTGAGAACCTTTTTTACCATAAGAGGTGTTTTATAATGGCTTCACATAAATCATAACTATTCACTTAAAACTTGAAACACTTTAAGATACTTTAATACCTGAGAACAATAACTCTATTCGCATTTCTTCTCATTAATTTTAAAATTATTTTATTCAAGCGTGCGAGGACTTGTCTTAAGACGTGTTCATGTCCTTCCTTAGTTGCCGTGAAGATAATAATATCATCCAAATAAACTCTTACTTGAGGCATATTCTCAAACAGATCTTCCATGATCTGTTGAAAGAAAACGGGAAGCATATAGAGACCAAATGCTCCTCTGAACATATATTGCTTTCCTTTGCATGCAAATGAAAGGACTTACAATACGGTGTTCCTTAAGGATCTTTAACTGATGATATCCTTAAGTTAGGTCTATCTTTGAAAAGACAGTTGCCTCTCCAAGTGATCTCAGTAACTCGGTTATACGAGGTAGATGGAAGTTATGTGTGGGTATGATCTTGTTAATAGGATTCATATCCAAACAAACTCTGACCTTTCTTAAGGGACCCAGCAGAATTCTGCTAACAGCGCCAATTTAGAAGTTGTTGGTTCGAAGTTAATTTCTATTTCACTATCTTCTAACCATAGAGAAATCTGTACTGAAACAGTTTCCATGTGTCTGTAAGAGACATAGTTACGTGATGGAGTCTGTAATTTGTAAAGTCCACTCTTGACAAGTGTAAACTAAGGTAACCATTGTTCAATTCAAATTTAGCCCATTGGGTTATCTTAATAGCTCGATTGGTAACAATCAAACTATTAATGTCTTAAACAAGATCAGAAATTAATTCCTTAATCTTATCATTTGGTGGCGACGGTGGGCTTAGTATATTATCGTCAGATTGGCCCTTTATAGGATCCACTCCGTTTGGTAAGCCCGTAAGGGCTATCCCAAAAGATAATAAGTCACCCATATTTATTAGACATATGTAGTACTACTAGATCGGTCAGAACCATTCGATGATCTAACAACGTGATATTAATATCATTAGCTTTCTCATAACATACAAGTTCTTTCTCGTTTGGCAAAATAACATGCGTATTCTTTAAAAAAAGTTTCTATGTCACATATAAGTGTTACACGATGAGAAAGGCAAGATATTTGAGAACCAAGATCAAGTAAAGCATTAATCTTTATTCCGTTAACGAAAACTGGTAATATAATACACTCATTTTCCTTAGAAGTAATCCTCTTGACCGTCGCCACGTGGTGTCAATTTTGGTAGTCCCCTTGGAATCGTCCTTTGAAGGCCGCTTCTTTATTTGAACTCTTGGTATGGCAGTGCAAGATAGAGCATGCATTCCATGCGTCTTCTTGCACGACGTACACTCTAAAGTGTGATTGCAAGAGTCTTTATGTCTACCAGAAAAGGTTTGTTTAGGCATATTTTGATTTAAGACGCTATCACATTCAACACACAACGCATACCTAGTTGTACAACTTTTCTGTTGTGTTTGTTGAGTGTGCTGCTCCTTGTGGAGCACTTACTTTGGTTGTGCTCGCTCACGAGCAGCAGCAGCACACGTACCTTTATCTTGTCTAGTGTTAACACCAGTTTTAGACGTAATCGTATGAGTCTCTGAAGACTTCTTAGTTGACTGCATTAAGCAGTTCTGTATCGATTCTTAGATTGTAAAGCCTTAACGAACATGTCCCACGTAAAGTCAGTCAAGTCTGAGAGACTAAGTAGTAGACGTATTTCTATATACGTTAATAACGTTTTACGTTATCAGCCCGAGAGTAATTTGGGACTTGTTCTCAAATTAATATAATTAATATAAGTATAGGTGGGTCAGCCCGAGAGAACGTAAGAGTAATTTAGGACTTCTTCTCAGATTATTCCATTTATAGAACACCGGCTAGCCGAGAGCCGAGGTCCGAGACTGAGGGTAGTAACAGAAAATATGATATTTATTTCTAGAAAATATATCCGAGTGCTAAAGTGTTCTGCATAAGGTTTCTCATACTGATCATATGAGATTTTACCCTGGCCAACCCAAGTGGTTGAGCACTAGTACAAACACCATCAGTATATAGCTGAGGGTGAGATCATAAATAAATTCATTCGAATGCACCATACTTTAAATACACTAGCACTTTACTATTAGTCCCCCACACAGCACGCGAACAACTTATCAGGTCACTTTACTCTCGAGCTACCAACCTATACTACTCTCCAACTCAGCTCAGCTCAGCTCAGCTCATCTCAGCCAGCCAGCCAGCCAGCCAGCCGAGGCAGATAGCCCTAATCCCTGAGCCCCTAAGTCCTGAGCCCTGAGCTCTGAGCCCTGAGCCCTGAGTCAGCCTACTTTGTAGAGAGCCTCAGAGTCTACTGTCTCTCGGTGTCTCCGACTCTTCCGCTTCGACAGCATCGATTACTCTATCTTGAATTTTCGTCGCCTGGAGTATTTTTGGTCCCGTCGACCCGTAGCAAGCTAAGCAGCCCAGCACCAATTTTTTTCTCCTGGACCAATCATCAATCGAGATATGTTTATTTGTGGAGTAAGGGTTTTTAGGTTTAGGTGGAGTAATCATGGAGTAAGAAGTATCAGCCTCAATATGTAAAGAAGATCTCAAAAATGTAGTCGTTCTCTGGATTCTACTTTCAACTTCAATTCTTCCACTTCATTAAAACGAATGAGTGGGCCGCTACCTTTAGGATGAGAAAATGACTGCCGCATCACTTTGCATAAATGTTGATCAATACGAAAAGCATATGTTCGAACTCATTCTGTTTCTATTTAAGTTCAACTAAAAGTTCACCCTCTTGTCTTGTGATCAGATCTTACTCCAGGTTCTAAATCATATTCGGCAATACATACACAGTTGTCTGGCGTCGCTGTTGAACGCAACCGGTGACTCCGCTACCACGGTCCCATCAACTTGCGGGGAGGTTGGGCGGCATAGTAAACTGCATTTTCTTCAGCATACTAGCATGATCTTATATACTTAGTAAACTACATTTAAAAAAAATTCTCCATATACAGCACTCTTTTTGTTACGGGGGAGGCTGGAGCGCTGATCCTCTACTTGTGCATAATGAAAACACCTCGCCTACTATTATTTTTTTGAAATGGAACGACACTTTTGCCTTTATATATTCTTTTCGAAGAATTGTCCTCGGTTCCAATTAAAGACATAAGATGAAATGAAGGAAATCTTCATAAACAAAAGATCGGACTATAAATACAATCGGTTGCATATTTTTCCTCATGGGTAGGCCTGTATCGCCAAAAGATTTTCTAGATAATCGCACAATATGAGCAGACACCGACCAGTTTTTGGCAATCAAACAACCAATTCTTTTCTCTTCGTTTTGTAAGAATTATTTTTAACATGCTTGAGCACAATTTTACAAAACAACTATATAACATGAAGATGGGTGTGGTTTATCTCCCAGTCAGTTTCAGGTATTTTTCTACCAAAAAGCGCTTTCTTGGAATATAGATATCTCCGGAATGTCGATATGCGGCATATCTGGTGAAAGCGCCTTGAACTCCTTTTTATCGGTGAGAAGGTGATTTCAATTCATCCAATTAACTATTTCATAACGATTGAGCCCCACGTACGTACCCTTGTTTAGTTCGATTTTCATCGGCCGTATCAAAAGTTTGGCACGGTACGATACGTAGAGCACAAGTCGATATGTAGATCCTCCATTTCATCCGGCATACATACATATCAAAATTTTAGGCGTCGGACAAATACATCGTCGCTGGTCGCTCTGCTAAGACGATTTCAACCGGTTTCTCGTATTTACGAAAAGATAGTTTCCGCTGATTTTCAACATTGAACCTAGTATAAAATCGAAAAGTTACTAAAATTAATCAATAGTCACTAGGGTCTATGTCCAAGTACGTATCGGCAAAGTTAGATTGCGAGATTCCGATGTTGTTGTCTTGGTGTATCCTCGGGCTATGTAGTAGGTCGTATCGATGTTTGATGCGCTAGTCTCCCGACTATTTAGGAATATAAGTGTAGGTTATGCATCAGAGCTCTGATAAACTCCTACGTATTCGCTACCGTTCATTGTCAATTGAAAGGATAATAAGAAGAAAAAAATTACCCAGAAATATACTCCGATTGTTTTGCAAGCTAATTCAGCGTCCATGAATATAGTTAATTTCACTGTGGATACTTTCGCAGATACACATTTAGATAATTGACATACTCGCTCCAAATAACTTCCACATAAAAAAAGTATGGCGTATGCCAACTGACAATGGAATCATAAATTGTTACATTGAATTTTTAAAAGGGGTTCTACCATATCCACTGGAGTTATTTGTCAATCTAAAGTTAAAGTCAACCGAGCACTTACAAGCTGCATTTTCACTGAGACGAGCATAGTGACCAGATCATTAAGAAGCCAATTCAAATAATGAAATCCAGAATATTCAAATATTAAAACCCAGAATATTCAAATATTGAGTTTTGGAATTAGGATTGGAATTTCTGATATTAGAGTCATCAGAAATATTAGCGGTAGAACCGGTAAGCTAAACCGGGACTCCGCGTGAGAGAAAAACACTCAAGTAAAATCCCGAGTCTAGTGAAAACACAAATAAAGACTCAGTTCGGTTCTCTCAGACTAGGGATTTTTCCTAGCTGAGATAACCGTACTTGAGAAGAGGTCTATTATATCATTAGACTCGTATCTTTCAGCTACGCTCCATACTCTACATTCTTGTACCAAATACACTGAACAGCAGAGAAAAATCACAAATTGCCAGATCGAGCCTGATTTAATATACCAACCTCCAACTCGTGCCCTTTCCTAACACTGCCTGAGTACCCAGTAGGCTTCGATTGTAGGTTTTGAATAATGCAAACAAATATGATATTACAGTAAACAAATACGATAAGACAGTGTAAATAAATATGTCAATACGTAGATATCCACAGACATTTGCGTTTCAGTAGACCGTAACGATACATGATCACCAGGTAATCTGACAAGCACTCATCCATACCTAATCCTCTATATATTTCCTAACGGTGATCATGAAATTACAATACGTACTGTGTATATACCTCACAGTGAACGTGTGTTCAGTGTTACTTGTAATATCATGTTTGCTGAATCTATTCGTCGTTGAGTTCTATATTGAATTTAAAAACTCAAAGGGTACTTTCTATGGTCTTTTATGTGTACGGTCTCAAATATCATGGCGGTAGTTTTTTAGTGTGGCCGAACAATGTACGTATCTAGATAGCAGTATGGCAGAGTGTAGCACAATTGCGCTCCGCTTACAGTGATACAACAATGCTATACATATGATTCTGCATAACCTTGTACTATTTAGGAGGCTATGGATTCTGATAGGAGAGGTTATTGACAATTTCGTACGAATCGAGTTCATACACAGTTTAGTGGCAATGTGAATTGATTGGCAAGGTATCAATGTGTTTTTATAGTATATCGATACGCATGATACAAATTTAGATCAACGCCTCAAATGCCTGATTTCTATGACTGTATCCGTTCAGCTTAAAAAGACGCAGCTCATACCCTGATAATTTATAATTAAAAATATCGAGAGTACTTCTCCACTAATCACATCCTTGAACAAGTTTTCATCAAACAAACCTCGGGGTGTCACAGCTCACATATATTTATACACGCATGCTCAGTGAATTTAACATAGTACACTCTATGCGCTCACTTTGAAATTGCTAGGGCCCTCAGAACTGGGGGATACCGGTTCGTTATCATATTTCGGGGACAGATTCTGTCATATGCACGTGATGGTACCATCGTTCAAGAGGTGTCTTCACTACATAAAGTATGGTGCTAGCCCTGGTGACGATATTAGGGCATAACACCCAATCCACACAAGCTTTCATTGGAATAATCACCTAACAGATTGAATGAGAATGATTTCCTTCACCTGCCACGTGAAAATGCTTCTTGACGAGCTTTTGATTAAACCAAAATCTCTTCTAGGCTCTGGCTCAAAACAAAAAATTATTCTTTGCACTCTAAAAACGGCAGGAACACTATACGTCGATTCCCGACATCACAAGATGCTCTATCGCCACTCCGTCCTTGGTTCTATCTACACACGGAACCACATCTACGACCGCAGATTTCCCACTCTAAACTGTATCTGTATTTACACTATCTGATCTCTGTTCCGGTATCCCCAGTTCTACAGTCACATAATTCGATGTAATGTAACATCAACGTCAGCTAATAGGAGTCAAACATCATCACAACGAGTTTATTCGGGTGACCTGAGACACCACACTATATGATAAAAATATCTAAAAATGTAGCGGTTTCAGCAGTTGCTCGTAGAATTCTGGTAGTGAATTCTCAGACGCATGCTTGTGTATGATATCATCAATCTTCGACTTGCGCAAGTGATGAGGCCTGTAGGAGTGTGTAAACCCAATTTACTATATGCTAGAATGCTGTAGAAAATACTTTCGCCCACTGCAATGTGGGCTAACCGTTGCATTCGCGGCGTGATTTGAAGCATCGCCAGGACATACGAGCATAACTAATGGGGTGGGCTATACAACAGTTATGTCGCGCCAAATATACAAGCAGAAACTAGTGATATATATAGAGGAAATATTAGAAAGGCAAGTTGTAATCGAAA